AGGGAACTTGTGAACTTTTTTTTCCATGATGACTATTGTATATTAATAAGCAAAAATTTATATCAAATCGTAAAATTGATCTCTTAGTAGTTGAATTCATCAGTCCACCATTGAAAACCTGGAAGCACTGGACGGCCGTTTCATGATAGTATGGAACTACTCAGTAGTGCGCATCCACGATATTTGAAATGGGTTTCGATCATAAAAATATGTTAAGCAAAAAGTGATCATTAGAAACTAAGATTTATGGAGTTATGAAGAATAGTAATAAAAAGCTGAATAGCTACTTTGTGTTTTTGCAGAACATCATAGAATTATACATGAAAATGCCTTCATATCCGATCGTCAGTAGATGATTATCAAAAATCATCACATTCCGCTTATTATTATTATTGTCTAGTTCCAAGATGAAATGTTGACCTGTACATTTCTAAATTGTTATTTTCAGAGCAATCTAGAAGGTTATATCATGTAGTCCATAAACGATGCACCTGTTTGCCGACAGAGACTGGACAAATCCAGTATTACATTACAAAAACAGAATATTAACAACAGTTACAAATCAGGCGTTTACTATCTTAATCGTTATTCCTTAACTACATGCAGTTGATAGCAACATGTCTGGGGAATCTATGTCATTTGTTGAACTGAGTAAAATTATAGTTTAATTAGATTAAATTCATTTTCTCTTAATTTTAACCGACTAACTTTTAGAAAGTGGTGGGAGCATCCTATGCTAGACCGTTTAAAAAAATACAAGATTCCACTTTACAAAAAGATCACTTAATTGATAAATATTAATGATTATTCAACTTACTTTGTACAGAAATTCGGAAAAAAGTTCTCAGTTAATCTTTATAAGGATAGTACAAATTTAATGGTTGAGGTTAGATAAGAACTTATTTAGAAATACTATACTGACTAGTAATTCAGTATAATTAGGTTATGAGTAAATTTGTTATCCGGTGATCAGTCATCGTGTTTATTTTTTCTGTTGTTGACCGAACTATTCTATGTAGCTAATTGAAGAGATTAGGTCAGATGATTATAATTAGTCATTATCAGTTCAAGAGTTAATCTTTTGCATTTGTTTGACTGATACCAATAAAAACGTGAAACCACTGTTTTTGTAGCATTCTAGAATAAAATTCTTCAGGAGTGTGTATCTATGAGTCATCGAGTGATCGGGCCAAAGACCCTCAGATTTGTTTCATGTTTTCTTTAGGAAAAAGAGTTAATACATTCCAATTCACTTGAAAACTAGAAGCAAACGAATTCAAATCTGTTTCTTTAAAAAAAAACATCATTTAAGTCATTAGTCCTTTTTATAATCAGTAAATCTTTCTAATGTATTATTGTATATAACCTGTTGAAACCTTCACTGTAAAGCATCACCCTTCTGTATAGGCTTAGAAGTTAATATTCTTGGGAAACTTGATGTTAATATCAACCAAAACAAATGTAGTTTCTAATATAAAGAATTCATGATAACTGGAAATTGCATATGTGATTTCTTTTACAATACACTACTTATGAATCCCTTTGTTGTTATCGATGTATTTCTTTATTAATCTCATCAATATATTGTATGACGAAAATGTAGTGTCCTGTAACATGTAACCCTAGAACTAAGATTTTCAACAAAAAAAACACAGTCCATTTGACTTTCTCCAAATTGTAAATAAAATCTGTCATTAAAAGTCACTGTATTATGCTCGTTGCTGAAACTTTTCGCTGCATTCTGTACACTTTCCAGCTATTTACCGTGTATCTGACTAAAATATTATTTGATAACATTTCAGTTATTTTCATCGTTAATTGATTTTCAGCGTACTTGGTAAATTATCTGAATTTCTAAACGATGAAAAATATCTGATAATATTATATTATCTAATTCTTAATTCTGTGATTCTGTCTCATCAATACGATTATTATATTAGAACTAGTCTTAATGACTGGAAACAGGTACGTCTCCTTAGCAAAATGATCAGGTTTTTTATTATTAATTTAAAAAAATTAACTCCTCCTGGAGGTCTACTGGGGCTACTGTCGGTCCCAAGCTCGGATAAAGGAGGGGGGTTGGGCATAAGGTTAGAGACCTCATCCCGTAGAAAACTAGCTAAAAAAGGTTAACTATGAAAAATACTTCAAACCAATTAAAATCTGCCCTGGGAGTTAGGTCTTCATTTAGAAAAGTTATTATTCCTTATGGGGATAGCCGAATTTCATCGGAAGTCACGAGGCTGATGCCCCTTCTGACAACCAGACCAACCATTAATTTAGTACATGGGATGCTCGTACAATGCGGGAAACCGAGAGAGTCATCCAAATCTCTGCAGAAATAAAAAAATTAGGGATCTTAATGACTGATATTAATTTAAAAATCTACATCAGTAAATTTGTTTTCATCAAAATGACAAGTTTCAAGCTATTTTTCTTTTCTGTTTCAAAATACCTCAGAAACAAGTAACATAAAGTCATTGAGTATCTGCCTGTGTTGAGTGTAATAAGTATAAAACTATGAAAGTGAATATCATTTGACACGTTTCTTTGTAACTTATGGAATGATTTTTCCCAAATTATAATGTATGAGTACAATAAAATATGTCTATTATAGACTCTTAAATAATGAACCAATCTGATGTTCATAACCGTATTGATGACATATATACATTTTCAAACAATTATAAGTTTGATCTGGTAAATCAACATAAAAAGGATAATCTAGTCTATTTTTATACCATGTGATCTTTATTAATTGGTAGTTCGATGAATAACTATTTCTTTTTATAAACTTTTGACCCTTATCTCATAGTTATTTGACATTATCAACATCAGTGTTTTTTTTATGGAGTTTTGTTCTTTGAGCTAGATGGTTTGGTCATGGAGCTTTCATCGTTCTTCTGAACGACATCGTCAGCACTTCCACTTGAAGTTTGTGCTGATGATGTCGTTCAGAAGAACGATGAAAGCTCCATGACCAAACCATCCAACTCAGAGAACAAAACTCCATCAAAATCATCCACCTGGGCTAAAAATGTGCTAGACCATCTCAACGTCCATGTTTATGATTATCTAGTTAGATATATTTAATACATCATTGTCCTATCGAACAACGTTTCTGATAATATGAAGTCTAACTTAATCATTTATGAAGTTGAAAAAACTAGCATTATATATATATTGTAGATTCGTATACCAAAAACAATTTAACAGAAAGACATAGATGGTATACTTTTGAAATGTGTAATAAAGATGAAGAAAGGCGACTCTTAAACCCTCCTCATAGAAGATTTTCTTTAAGCTCAACAAATCTTACAAATCATTCAAACTGGAAAAAGTGTCCATTTTTTTATTTCGACCAATTAAGTGATCGAATTCGTAGATAACTTTTGGTTTTTATTTAATTTTCATTTGAAGCAATTATTCCCTTTGATAAATTTTGACAGCGTAATAAGAAGAGAAAGATTATCAGAACTATGTGATGATATATTAGTGCAATACATTTCGAATAATCTAATCACACACAATGTACTTGTTAAGAACATTTATATATAAAATTAAAAGGTTAAACATTAACATCATTGGACGCCAGCTTAGTGGTCCAGTAGGTTAAGCGTTTGCACGCGAGACTGAAGGCCCTGGGTTCGAATCCCGTGAGAGAGATCGTGGATGTGCACTTCTGAGGAGTCCCGCAATAGGGCAAAACGGCCATCAAGTGCTTCTAGGTTTTCCATGGTGGCCTAACATCAATTGGTTCATGATCTCAATTAAAGACTTAATAATCTCCATAACCCTTATACTGACCAAGTTAAAAGGTCAACTAGACTAGAAATGGAGGCTAAGAGGAGACAAGGATAACAAATAAATAATTTAGAAACAGTATGAATCCTCATCACTTTGGATAATAAGCTAATATTGCCAGGGTAGGTTTAAAGTGAGAACAAGCTTTTTTGAATACAGAGAAAGGGTTTGAATTTTCGGATGGCTAAGGCTTCAATAAACCTTAGTATACTCCCTTTTACACTTTTGTACAACCCTACAAAAGCCGAGTTAAGATCAATCTTATGACTGTTTCAGTTATGTGTTTGGCAATAGAGGATGATGGATGTTTATTCTCTACTCTTATTGGGTCGTTTGAATTTGTTAAAGTTACCGACGAGTGGATAACTGTATTTTCTATCACCTAATCATCTATCAATATTAAGCTGCATAATATATAAAAAAATATACAAATCAATTTTATTGATGAAATGTGTGAACCGATTCACGAAAGATTATTTAGCACTTTTCTGTTTAGGTACTTCAGTTAAACCAACTTCAAATGAACTTTTTGATCTTATTAGATCTTATTATTTACACCAAAGTCAGAATTTTCAATACAAATGTCAGGACAGTTCTACTGTATGGGATGGAAACTTCGAGAACTGCGAAAACCATCATCCAAAAGATACAGGTGTTTATTAACAGTTGTCTACGCTGGCCAGACACTATCAGCAACAACCTGGTATAGAAAATAACAAACCAGATTCCAGTGGAAAAGGAATCAGGAAGAAGCGCAGAAAGTGGATAGGATAATCCCCCACTTGGGATCCTTAGGGCTAAATTTTAAAGACGAAGACCAAAGATTACATTATGTTAAGAAATGGGGACAGATAAGATATAAGAAGGGGTTTTGTGGATATTATAGTAATAATAGTAGTTGAGATCATGAGTTAATTGAAGCTAGACCACCATGGAAAACCTGGAAACACTGGACGTCCGTTCCGTCGTATTGTGGGATTCCTCAGTGGCAGTGCGCACTTACGATCTTGCCTTGGGAGATTCGAACTCATGACCTATCGGTTTCGCGCAAAGGAGTCCGACAGTAAGACAAAACAGCTGTTCAGTGCTTCCAGGTTTCCATGCTAGTTTAGCTTCAATTGACTCATGATCTCGAATATTAAATATATATATATATATATATATATATATATATATACAATAAAATTTGAACTTGCATTATTCACCGACTTATTCAAATTTAATTTAGTACAATTATCTTCATGAATATTTTGATTACATTTATTTAATTTCAATCCATTTTTAGGGTGACATCATTCTCATTATTAAATGATTGTTTTGTTCTATTATATATATTATTGTTTAATTGTTGATTGATTTACTACTGATCTGTTCATTATTGTTTAATTGAACTAAATAAATGAATAGAATGTATAAAATAGAAATAGATTTAGTTATCATTGAATCAGTTAGATAAATGTGATATTATATGGGAAAAATATGATATACATGTACCTATAAGTGAATTAGAACAATTATCTTAGTGTTGTTTTTACGGTTCAGATATTTATAGTGTCATTGACTTCAATGATCATGTTATGTAATAAATGAATTAGTTATTCACAATTCATTATTAGATAATGCTTAATTATACTGTACATTAATGAAAGTTATGTAACTGAATCACCTGTTAATATATTACCCAAATTTTATTCTTTACTTATGCATAAACACATATTGTATAGAAATTATTCAATGATAAGGGCAGAAAATGTGAATAAGATAAATTAAACTTTCTACAGAAATTGATAACAGGGAAGTTCTAATTCATTACTAAATGTATGTCTGTATGTATGTAGGCGTCAATAAATAATACAATGTATTAATGAATTGTCTTGATGGTTCAAATTGTAGACTAAGTCAAACTTAATTTAACTAAAACAATATTATATTAAGTGTAAATTTATAGATCAATTTTGTATATTTCATTATTGTATTCCCTTTTTGATTTTAGCCAATAGTGTTGTGTACAATATGATCGATTGAAATTCCCCACTCTTAGTTGTGTTGATTATATAGGCAATGGTTTTTGATCAAAAATTTAGGAATTTATCATGATATAAGTTACCAGTGAAAGAAGAGAAAGACGATAGAATAATAACTAGAGTCTTTCGAATTTATCATACACTTTTAATGACACTAAGATCAGAGGTAGTGATGTGTTTTCACTAACTCTGTGAAACATGTAACATAAGTTGTTATCGAACATTATGGTATATCGCCGTTTATGTTACTGGGCATGGATAACCATGAACATAAGTTTGACTAAAAAAGGCATAAAATAATGAGGGTAAGGAACACAAAGAAAACCAAAGTACATTTAGAAGCGATCAATAAAAATATCGAAAGAATATAAAGTCATGGCTCTAGTCTAGTAAGAAAGCAATGAAAATATATAACAAAATATTATGTGTAACAATCTATTAAGGACCATGTTAAGAAGACAGCCTGCCAGTCACTTATTGAACTATTCAGACAGTTCACTGTCCTTTGAAATCTGTGTCAGTGGTGTAATGAAAAATTCAAAATCAAATCACTTATCTGATTGGAAGCAGCTGATAATAAACGTCATTTCAAGTCCTTAGTCGGTGAGGTGAAATATGTTTACTTAAAATTTCGATTCATGCAGCTCTCTAGTCATAACAAATGATGATAAAAGATCTACGTTATTATTGAAGCTCTTAAGACTAGTGAACACAACACGGGTGGGGACAATCGAATAAAGTCTGAATACCATATAGCAAATTGTCAATTTGCAAAAATATTCACGCATCAAACCAAACTGGACTGTTTCTGTTGCAAACACCAATCTATTGTCTCCTATTCCATTGTTCGTGCGTTTTCTTACAAATTCCATTGTGTTCTCGCTCTTCCTTTCTTCATCTTCCCCATTTTCTGCTGCCAGACATCACGTTCTTTTGACTCACGTTATATACTACTCATATGAATATAAGTAGATCACACCACAAGACGACTGATTCAGAAAATTTTCCATCCTAATTTCATATCGTTTGAAAACATTAATTACTCATAGTTAGAGACTAGATTTGTCTTTTGATATTCCATGTCTTAGTGGAATATAACATCCTGTAGATAACAATCAGTGTATTTATTATGAAATCTATCTGCTTACCATTTCATAGAGCACAATGTCTCTTCATTTAATTTCTAAATCAGCTACACAAATCTAGATTTCTTGATTTTGTGGTTAAAATCATATCAATGAAATTTAGAGTCAATTTCTGTCGTCTCATAACATGATTCATCATCTCAGATAAAGTCTCATATTGAAGTCTAAGTTAGTAGTCTGATAATTTCATTATGAAAATTAACAATTAGTTCTATTTTTAAACAAAAGATTGTAATACAGAACTAGATTGTTCCATCTTAATTATTTCATTAAATTCAATCATGACATTGATATAATAAGTGCTAACTACATCTACTTAGCCTCAGTAATTCCTTTAGAGACAAGGTTTAGTTTCAACGATTTGAAAATGATTCACTAGATCTTAAAAAGTGGTTTAATATAATTGTAAGTTTTGTATAAAATAATGATTCCTTTTTACTTAATGATGGTGATGATCGATTTTGAGTTTCAAATACAATACGTTCGTTTGTGCTCACTTAGTTCTAATTGGCGTTCATTGCGTTACTTCAGGGATTTCTAGTTTGTATAATAATTCGGATACTTCCAATTATTACAATAAGGTTACTGAAATTCAACATCTACTTTCATAGGTTTCATTCGTTGTGTTTTTTTATTAATGACCTTAAAAATTATTGATTTTTTAGGCGATAATATTCAGAGGAAATAAAATGATTTACATGCGAAAATAACAATTATGAAATCGAATCAATTGTAGAATTCTGTTATAATAATTTCCTTAGGGTCTTTTAGAATCATAGTATAGTAACCATGTACTATGAATAGTAACTTAGGGGATATAATTGATGAGTCCTATACTCGGATAAAGTAACTATGTAGTGGTTTTCAACAGTTCTTCATATGTGAGTCTGTTATTGATAAATACTAACTTAAAATTAACTTATTTATAAAATGAATTAAATAACACGGATGCTCAAACAAATACCAGAGTATATGAGGACTGTCATACAAAAACAACCATTTGGTTGCGAACACATTGAGATCAAAATGTTTTTCGTCTCCATCCTATAATAGACTGTTAAACGACTAAAGTTAGACGTGAAAACTACTGAATGCTTACACAATAGCCTGAAGCAGAAGTATACTCAGGGAGACTTAAATTTCCTGGATTTGAGTACCGATAGGGTCATGAATGTACACCGCTGTGAAGACAACTTTCCAATGCTTTTAGATTATTTATAACTTCCTAACTGGAAACGTTCTCTCATGTTAACTGTGGAACCAAAGAGCACTGAACACCTATTCCGTTCTACAATGATACTCCTCATTGATAAATATGTGAAAGCTGTCCAACTGTTCAGTCTTAAACTTCCAGGTCTAGTGAACATCACTTTTCCTTCAAGCCATGGTTTGGGAATCTAACAGTAAGCTAAATTAGGAAATTCAACCATCTCGTGATTGAATGAATTATATATGAGTGTAAATCAAAGCATTGAATCAATCGGAGCTGGAAATGAAGATCACAGGACCCAAACTCAGTTATCTACAGTAAAATTGATAAGTCTTGCGAATTGAACGCTTTATTCGTTTCCTAGGCTATTCTGTAACCCCCAAGCTGGAACTATACAGCGACCTGAACAACGAGAGAGAAGACGCAAAGTATGCGAGAAACCCTTTACTCCAATGTTCATTTTAATACAGAAAATACAGGGTTTATACAACACTTTAAATGTCCTTGGGTTGCTAGAAGAGTCTGGAATGCTACTAAACGTAGTAGCAATGTAGCAATCAGCCAATCAGAACCTCTACATGTGACATTTCACTTCGTTGATATTTTTGGCTAAAACTTCAAGTGAACGCTGATTGGATGAAACGCTTCTTAGTGTTTCCCGATGCTTGCTTGCCTTTTGCAAGAAACTTTCTGGATCACTTCAACATAAATAGCTCGTTGCAAGACCTGAATGTACAAGGTCTGACCTTTGGCGTCTTTTGGTGTACACCATTGTCTCATACAAGAATAGAGAATCTGTTTGTTATTTCTTTCTTCTCGATTGTCTTAAAGTTGACGCCATATTATGATCAAAACTAGTTAAAATAACTTCTAATGGAAAGAATTTTGAGTGCTGAGCAAACTCAAAATATGGAAACAAATTATGTGGAAGTAAGTGACCAAGAAATCTATTGACTTTTATTTGAAATGGAAACCGTCCTTACCTCATTTTATTTTGACGGCAACAAACACCGACTTCAATGCAAGATGGTAATAAACAACTTAACAACATGGACTCTGTTCCTAAATATAGTTATCCACTTAGTTATATTATCACTCATAGTAGTATATGATTGCACCAATGAGAAGAATCAATCTGAGCTCAACACTCGCCTCATGAATAATTCCATCAAGTAAGTGCGAATTATTTCAATGTTTTCACATTTAAAAGCGCTCCTCATTTTTATATTTATGGTTTAGTAAACAACACATTTTAACTCGAGACCTAGTTAGATATTTCTTTTAGTACATATGATTTAATTATACAGTGAACTTCAAATAATGAAATATTATTTATAATAGTTATTATGATTTGCTAGACTATAAAGACTAGGGAGGCCTATTGACCAGTGCGAAATAATGACTTTAACTGAAGGAAGTCAGTGTGGATCCAGAGTTTAATCGGTTTCAAGAATCGGCTTAGTCAACGAAATAAAGTTTTTTGCGCTTGAAAAACCATCGACAAGGTTTATTTACATTGCTGCCGAAAACTAAATCCTTTTCTAGATCCGATTCCGTATTATACACGAATAATGTAAAGATCTCTGGATAAAATGAGTAATTGAGAATGACGTTGCCAAAATAATGGGAAAACATAGTTACACAACAATGTATAGGGTACTTACTCACATTTCCTCACCTGTATGATTTGACTGGTTCAATGGATTTAATTTCTGCCATTCTTTTCGGATATGTTGTTCATTTAAACTACTTTTGCATAGTTTGAAATTCTGTGCAAATATACGAAAGACAAATTTATGAAAACTGGTTTCTATGTGTTCAAAAAATTCTACTTGTAATTCATTCAAAGTCAGGTTAAAGCATATAACTGCCCAAGATACATAACAAATTCAATGTTTATTAATTATTTATTGAAACTTTTGGCGAAAGATTTATTATTATTATTCGTAGGTTTATTCAATATTATATTCTTGGTACAATATAGAATTCTCAGTACAAAGTATTTCAACAAGTATCCGTTTCTTATTTGTTGATTGATCCTGACGATAACTATTGAGTGATCATCAGTTAGAAGTCAGCAATTCAGGAATCGATATCTGATTAATGTATATTCTTTTCGATACATATTACAAGCAACCACAATGTCTCTGATTGAGCTCTTTTGTAACTTGTACAAAGAAAAGTTGTAAAATTTTTAGAAACGCACCTGAATAAGTTATGTGATTACTAGGCATAATGATGTGTTAAAACAAACAAGAAAACAGAATACTTGTTGAAATATTCAGACGGCAGGAATATAGGTAGCCCAGATATTCAAGCTACGAAAGACATCCACTACTTTTTTAAAATGGAAGATGAACATCATTAGATTGCATTGCATAATCTAAAAGCACTGTCAATCTAAAAGTTTTTTTTTC